TAGAAAGCAATACGTTTCTTTCTTCTGTCACAAATTCCCCCAGCTGTGAGCCTTCCAGCTTTCTAAATATTCCTTTATATGTGGTTCAGAGTTCTGGGACCATCCCCTGAGCCTGCTTGGTTGGGTATTCTGTGTTATTGTTGGCGGAGCTCCTCACTACACTTCCACCCGATCCGCCATCTGGTTTGTTCTCCCAATTCTATGAATTTTATTAGTGGTCTTTAAAAAAAACACCCTGGTGGTGTGGTGTTGAAGTGCTCACCTGTCAGCCACTCGCCTTCCGGGAAGATTTCGGCCTTGGAAGTCCTAGGGGGCTGCTCTGGGGTGGTGTGCTTGCCTGTGACCAAGCTGCAATGCTGCTGGCTGTGAAGTGACTGTCCTTTGAGGCTGCCGGTTTCTGAACGTCCAGCAGTTCTGTTGTTTTCCCCACCCTGGGGGCCAGCAGGCACGGAGCAGGTGATGACTGTGAGCCTGCTCCAGCCACTTTTGGGCTCCTGTCACCAGCAGCCTGCAGCTACACAGGGTCTGATGAGGGCCTGTGACCCGGCCCTGGGCTCCATACTTCTGTGTTGGGTCCCCAGCCCTCCCGAGTGAGAAGCTCTCGGTGAGCAGCGTGCTGAGCTCATCGCCGGGCTCCCTAACGCCCACCTGAGACTGTGTCAGGAGCGTCGGGGCAGGGACAGGCACAGAGGAGGTGGAAATTGGGGATTTCACCCACATTGGAGTTTAGCCTACAAAGTGAGGTGAGGCTAGAGGTGCATGCAGAGGGTGGGTGGGTGGGGCCTGAGTGAGGAGGGGAGCCAGTACTTGTGGGTGTTGTTGTGACCAAGACTGTGATGATGGTGGTGACCATGGAATGGAATCTGGGAGTCCTCGTGGCGCTGCAGGATAAGCGGTTCAATCCCACCCACCACTCTTTGGAAACCCGATACAGGTTGCTATGAGTCGGAACCAAGTCACTGGTACTTAACAATAACAGACAACAAGGAGGACTGAGGGGGGCTTTGCTGAAACGATGAGTATAGATGTTGGTGTCGCTGAAGGGTGGGTGGTAGGGTTGAGGGTAGAAACCAGAGGGAGCCAGGCAGGGCGGCAGTGGTTGGAGCGTGAGCATGGGCTGTCGGCAGCATGGGGGTTGCAGGGCAGTGATGACGAGGTCTAAGTTTGCCCAAGTGGTAGCAGTGGAGACCTAACCCTAGTGCCCAACTTATCTCATCTGCCTGGCCTCTAGGTGTTCACTGAGATTGGAATGAGGGAGTTGTGTCCAGAGTCTCGGCATCTAGGGCCTGTTCTTGGGCGATGGCCAGCCAGCAGGGCGAGAATTTAGGCTGTGCCATGTACAGGCCGGGTAGCCTGGGTCAGTCATGTAATTTCATGCCTCGGCTTTCTCATCTGTAAGGAGGGCTGATCGCAGTGCCTGTGGCAAAGGTAATTGTGCAGGATAAAAGCAGCTAACTCCCAAGGAACACTTAGGAGCCTGCCTGGTGCACACTGAGGCGCCCCATCAGTATTGGTGACTGGGGACCAGTGCATAGAACTGCTGAATCTTGGCAACGACTCTGGAAGGGAAATCAGTGCTTGTCTTTGACCTTGTAGCTTCTTTTTTGAAATTGGAGAGGAATCTGGGAAGGATTTTTTTTCTTTTTTGAAGGTGGCATAGAATATAGTGTTTGTTTTAGAGTCGCCCTCTCAGTGTCTTTTTCAGTAAACTCCCTCTTGAAACACTTTCCAGTGTCTGAGGGCTTTGCAGTGTGGAACCCTAACCTGAGCTGACTGACTGTCGACAGCACTGGGCCTAGCGGCTCAGGAGCTCTGACCTGGTGTGGCCTTGTGAGGCCTTTGTCTAGAAGCTCATTTTCTCACTTCTGATGTATCAGAAACGTGTATGTGAAGACAAAGATCTGTGTTTGGATTTTAATTGTGATATCACAAAGAAAAATATTCGGGGAGGAAGTGACCTGGACTCTTGAAGAGCTATAAAGCTTCTTGCATATGCTAGTGTGTTTTCTGTAAGAACTTGATAATTTGTACACACTCATGTAATAAGATCCTGGCAGTAAGATGCAGATAGCTTATGTACACGCTCACTCAGTAAGATCCAGGTAACTTATATACACGCTCACTCAGTAAAACCCAGGTAACTTACATTATATACATGCACACTCAGTAAAACCGAGGTAACTTACATTGTATACATGCACACTCAGTGACACCCAGGTAACTTATATACACGCTCACTCAGTAAAACCCAGGTAACTTACATTATATACACACTCACTCAGTAAAACCCAGGTAACTTACATTATGTTGTTGTTGTTGTCAGGTGCCATCGAGCCAGAACCGACTCATAGCGACCCCATGCACAGCA